GTGTGTCTATTCAACAACAATTGAATCCCTATTTATAGCCATGTAAAATGGCTTATGAGATGCCAAAAAAGTGAACGACACTCTCATTAACCAAATGGAAACTACACACAATTAACTCCATGCGGTCATTAACTTTCATAAGCCCAAGTAACCAAAAGTGTCTTCCATAACTCCGTCTTGGAAGTAATTTGAGGCATCAATACCAACAAGGTTGTTGTTGAATAGATCCTAATGATGGACCAGAGGGATTTGACCCTAACAATGCTTGTATTTTATGTGAATCTTTACTTCCAAATTAGTGTATGAACTTAACTAGTAAATTGTTTTAGCTAGTTTGATGATTTGGTCTAGTTAATTGAATAACCTCTTTAATTTAAGACCTGTTAGAATGATACTAAACAATGAACTACTACTAGCTAGTTGAAGTTCTCGTTCATATGACCTTGCACGTTGCTCTTATTAGGTAATATAATAGGTACATATATTACTGTGATCCATATTATATCTTCCAATTCTTCTATGTTGAACAAGTTCGAATTTTTTTCCTTGAGTATTATAAGTTCATCATGAAGAAAAAAATCCAATTTTCTCCTCTATTGAGTAGTAGTAAAGAAGAAAGACGAAGATTGACTTCGCATTGATGTCTCGGTAAATTTTATTTTGTACTAATAGAGAAAATAACATTGGGTAGTTCACTACACAAAAATTCCAGAAAAACAACCAACATAGGATCACTTAGCATACCCTGGAATAAAAAACCAAAGCACAAAACAAGAGTTCAATCGAAAAACACAAAACCTACTCCCACATCACGAGACAACGATAGTGAACCCTAATTGTCCCTTTTATGTCGACGGACTTTCAGAAACAACCGTACCAACAAAAATGCGGTTCATAACATAACGCACATCCCTACCTCCTCTTATAGTAGTAACAAGCCTGATTCCAGTCACTGGTCAGGCACACCGCGTCCCTCCTCACGAGCCACCGACACCACTTACAGATATGATAATCTCTGTCCTGAATGTAGATGTCGAACCAACGAACCCCTTCCCCCCAATCGAAGGAGCAGTAGAACAGAGTCGTCTCGAGGAAGGTCGGCCTGAAAGTAAAGTCGAACGACCGGTGCGGTTGCAGCCTGCGGAGGTGTAAATCGTCGTCCCTCGATTTGCAATGGACCGCAAGTTCTCGTCCCTCGATGTCGTTCTCCACCACCACCGTTGTTTTCTTAAATCTCGGATCGAAAGGATTGGCGTCGACGGACATGGCGAGTGCGAATAAGAGTAGGAGGGCCACTAATAAGATTCTACTGTGAGGTCTCATCTCCTTTATTCTTATTTTGATTTGAAGTTGGAAAGTTATAAGAGGGGTTTTCACAAAAAAAAATGAAAGAGGGTAATTTTTTGTTACTACTAGTGAGTCTTGTATGAGCTAATGAGGATGAGGATGGGTGTTACTTCTTTAGGTATATATACGGTTGAGTTGTTGTCATGGGAGTGAGAGGTTTGTCCTTGTTCACTAGACATAAAACATTTCGCCACGAAAATTGCTCCACAAATTTTACGAGTCATTATGGATTGGGTGATTCTGATCACACGATAGAGAAAAAAATGGCCGTGGTTTTTGGGGAGTAATTTGGGGTAAATGTCGACACTCTAGTTCTCATCTTCTCGACATTGTAGTGATCCGGACCGGATTAACCCGGTTTTTTCCAACCGTTTTGACAAATAGCCCAACCGAAGACGGGATTGGATGGGTACCCGGTTTCAACCATGACCGGACTGGATGGGATACAGTCCGGTCCGGTTTCAACCAAAAACCGGATAAAACTGCTACCTCCACCAAAACGCCACCATTTGTATGAAAATTGGAGAAAAAGAAAAATAAAAAACCCTATCCCACCTCTCACCAATCACCCATACAAATCCACTTCTCAACCTTCTCGATTCTTCTTCTCCATCTGCCTCCTCGCATCCACTTCTCAACCTTCCCAATTCATTCACTCCTAAGATCTGCTCGACGCCGGCGAACTTGTGTCGGTGCGATGACTCCCGCAAAACAGAGGAGGAAGACGATGGGGGCGCCTTCGCCTCTCTTATCGCCTCCGCCGACGTCTTCATCACCGTCGATTAAGCAGCAAAGTTCAGATCTCATTGAGGTACTTGTAGACAGGGGCGCCGCCATCGCCATCACCATCTCGCCGCCGCTGATTCTGCCTTCCCCTTACATGTCGGGAGCTGCAGGGAAAGATGGTCAGCGGCGTCGCCATCACCGTCTCGCCATCGCCTATTTCCCACCACCGATTCTTCTTTTTCCTCCCCCTTGCATGTCGGGAGTAGCGGGGTAAAGATGATCGCCGACGTCGCCATCGCCATGGCCGTCGCTCGCCGTCGCCATGGTCATCGTCGTCTCGGAGATCGGAGAGGAGACTGGAGAGAACGAGGAAGAAGTGGAAGCGGCAGAATGAGGGTTTGGGAATCATTCTTCTTAGGGTTGGGGGGATTTGGGCTAGGGAAGTTGGGGGACTTGGGCTGGGGTTATGGGCTTTGGAGATATTGGGCCCTTGTCCGGTTTCCGGTTAAAACCGGGTAAAACCGGACTGGGACCGGGGCAGCTTTTTTCCCTTAGGCTGTGACCAAAGACGGGATTGGGTAAATGTATATCCGGTTTCTGGTCATAACCGGCACGGTTTAAACTGGCCGGTTTCCGGTTTGACCGGAAAACCGGAACCGAATTCCCAGCCCTAGTGATTATCCACTAGATAAGTTGATCAAATATTTTAACAGGATTTCGACAAAGTGTATGTCATGTATAGGTTTGACTTCTTTGGATAGTGCAATTATACGGTTTCCACTTATTCGAAAAAGTTTGAACGAAGTTGTTTGATATTTTTATGACTTTTCAGGAACAAACTACGTTAAATTACTCTAATTCTATGGAGGTTTGGCCAAAAATTACCTCTATGACTACTTTGGAGAGAAAATGATAAACTTGATACGTGTATCAAAGTGTTAGTATTGATGACTGCTCCTATCCTCTTAATAGCAATAAGGTGTAATTGTCTTGGTAACCACAGATTTGATGATTGCTCCAACTGCCTCAGGCACTCCTCATCGCTACCTTGTTGACTAGTTGGTGTTGGCTTGATGGCATTGGATGTTGGCGCCAGGACGGATTAGAGCATGTTGAGTTGACTTCACCTTAGTCTTTCCGCCTTGCCCTTACTAGGTACAATTGAAGCCTTGGTGCCATGCCTCCACGATGAACTCTTAATCCACCCTTGAAGATCCTAGTGTCCCCGTATTATGTTTCTTTCCTACTCTCGTATGGCTAGCCACCTTATTGAAATTGTTTTGTTTGCTAGGACTTGTAATCCGCTTGATGGGATGAGAACATACCCCTTTCATGCCTAAGTACATGACCCCCTTCAGACCTAGCCTTGGAGAGCTCGACATGGTGCCATCTCTCGGACTTGGTACCTTGCTCGTCTTGTCGGCTTACCACAAAGCCTATCTATTCGACTTGGTACATTGTCTGGTTGCACCAAACTCGTCTCATCAGCTTGGTACCCTGATAATGTTGTCAACTTGCCACCAAACACATGTCATCAGCTTGGTACCTTGACTGCCTTGTTAGCTTGGCGCCAAGTCCTTCTCATAGTTTTGGTACCTTGTCCGTCTTGTGAGCTTTCTATCAAGTACGTCTTGCCAGCTTGCCACCAAGACGATCTTACTGGCTTGGTATCTTGCCATCCTTAATAGATTGCCAACAAACTTGTCTCATCGGCTTGCCATTAGGCTAGGGAGAGGCGACCGCTAGGTCATTGGGTTACTAAAAAGGTATTTGTTGAGCCTGCCATAGATTGCATTTTTTGTTGTTATAGTCACATATGATCTACATTTCTAACTCGAGATGGCTCCATAGATTCTCGTACCCTATGAAAGTTCTCATAGCTGCTCTTTCTTGAACATATCCAAGTAAAAAAATTATGATATTGATGGAGGGCTCCCTCTATCACAACTAGCACTGTGTTCAATCTCTACATATGATGATTTTTTTTGGTGAATGTGCCTATAATAGTAAAGGATAAATATAGAAGAGACTAACTTAATTGCTAGAAACAGATATAAGTAGCAGATCTAAATTAGGAAAACCTAATATGATGATAAAAAATGGAATAATGTGTTAGGCTGTTAGCTAGTTCTTTAGGCTAAGTGACATCAAGTTTAATCAACTAGTTGGTAAGATATTAATATACGTGAATATAGTGTTAAATCTAATTTGAGAATTAGAACTTTGTTGTTGAATAGATCATAGTGATAGAGTAGAGGGATCTGAACCTAACAATGCTTGTATCTTATGTCGATCTTTAGTCGTTACGACCAAATTAGTGTCGTACACTTAACTAGTAAACTGTTCTAGTTTGATAGTTTAGTTTACTTATTTGAAATAATCTCGTTAAGACCTGTTCGATGATACTAACCGTTAACTACTAGTAGTTGAAGTTCTCATAGGTACGACCTTGCTCGCGGTTCTTATTTAGTAAAATAATAGGTATAAGTAATATTGCACTATACTGTGATCCATGTCTGTCATATCTTCCAATTATTCTATTTTGAGCAAGTTCGAATTTCTTATTTCAATATCAATTACGTTATCGTGATGAACAACGTCCAATTCTCGCCTGTAGTGAATAATCAAGAAGAAGAAGATACACCTCGCAATGCGTTCTCGATAAAATTTTATTTTGTACTAATAGAGGAAACAACATACATCAGATACTCAATTAAACAAAAATTCCAGAAAACCAACCAACATGGTATCACTAAGCATACCCTAGAATCAAAAACCAAAGCACAAAACGAGAGTTCAATCGAAAAACACAAAACCTACTCCCACATCACGAGACAACGATAGTGAACCCTACTCGTCCCTTTTATGTCGACGAACTTTCAGAAAAGACCGTACCACAAAAAATGTGGTTCGTAACTCTTAACGCCCTACCTCCTCTTATAGTAGTAACAAGCCTGATTTGTGTCACTGGTCAAGCACACCGCGTCCCTCCTTACGAGCCATCGACACCACTTGCAGATATGGTAATCTCTGTCCTGAATGTAGATGTCGAACCAACGAACCCCCTCCCCCCAGTCAAAGGAGCAATAGAACAGAGTCGTCTCGAAGAAGGTCGGCCTGAATGTAAAGTCGAAGGACCGGTGCGGTTGCAGCCTGCGGAGGTGCAGATCGTCGTCCCTAGACTTGCAATGGACCGTGAGTTCCCGTCCCTCGATGTCGTTCTCCACCACCACCGTTGTTATATGCTTTTTGGGATTCCAAGGGTTGGCGTCGACGGACATGGCGAGTGCGGATAAGAGTAGAAGTGCCACTAACAAGATGCTGCTGTGATGCTTCATCTTCTTTGGGTAATTATTAGAGGGTAATTATTACTCGTGATTGTTGATGAGCTGATGAGGATTGAGGATGAAGGTCTGGGTGTTACTTTTTTACGTATATATAAGGTTTAATGCATGCTGCTGTAGGATTGGGAGGTTTGTGCTTGATCTCTAGAAAGAAAACATTTCGCCACGAAATTCGCTCCACAAATTTTACGAGTCATTTTGGATTGGGTGGTTTCTGATCACACGATGGAGAAGAAAACGACCGTGGTTTTTGGGGAGTAATTTGGAGTAAAGGACGACTCTTCAATTATCACCTTTTCAACATTGTAGTGATCCTAATCCTAATCCTAACACTAATATAAAGAGGTTCTCTATGAAAAGGTGGTTAATAATGAACTTCATTTAGGAATTTAATTAATAAAAGCTGCGATTATATTAGGAACCGCAACCGTTGTTAATTTTTTTGACCGTACAGCCTTTCTTAATTATACCAATGGAGAAAGAGATTTAATAAGAAACATTTTTTAAACCAAGTATTATATTATTAGTTTTAATTAGAAAATATCATTTTCTGAAATTGTGGCCGAGGGTTATGCATGTGTATATTATATTGGTTTAGTTTGTTTATTTTATTTTATTATAAGGATAAATGTCCCAGGCAGGAAAAAGAGATTCGTGAGCAATTTTTTTGAAACCAATTATTATATGGGAGCGGATAGAATATAAAATTCCCGAGTACAAAATTCTGCAATATACGATTATATCATCGTATCACGACATGATGATACAATGATACAACCAATTATTATATGGGAGCGGATAAGGTACACAACTCATGCTTGCAAAATCCCGGTTGTATCATCGTATCACGACATGATGATACGATGATACGAAATCTTATTAAATTACTAATTATAGTTAGGAAAGATGTTTTTTCAAATTATGACCGAGGGTTGTGCATGTGTATATAAGTTTGGGATTTTTCCAGAAATAGCATCTTTAAAAAAAAAATTCAAAAATAGCACCTAGCCGAAAATATTACAAAAATAGCACACTTTTTTATGGATCGCACCTCCAAGGTGCGTTTTATTATCCTGGGCCAAAACCGCACCTCGGCCATGCGGTTTCAGGTCTGACCTACATAAACCGCATGGCCGAGATGCGGTTTTGGGCCGACCTACATAAACAACACCTTGGAGATGCGGTTTGTTTCTCCAAAACAAAACCGCATCCCCAAGGTGCGGTTTTGCCACACAAACCGCAGACCCCCAGTGCGGTTTGTGTGTCAATTATTTTCCGACACCCGACATACAGCCATGCAGAATTGGGATAATATCAAGTTAACACGAAAAAAAAATGGACAAAGCCAATTACATAGAAATAAAAACAAATTAAAACAACACTCAATTAAATAAACTAAGATAAGAGGACTAGTTCCAAGTACATAGAAATAAAAACAAATTGAAACAACACTCAATTAAATAAACTAAGACAAGAGGAATAGTTCCAAGTACATAGAATAAAAACAAATTGAAACAACACTCAATTAAATAAACTATGATAAGAGGAATAGTTCCAAGTACATATAATTAAAATTCAACTCAATATACATCTCAAGGAAGTCCACGAGCTTCACCGGAACTGACGGTTTTCCTGCTCCTTGTACGACGGCCAACGGGAGTAACAATAGGTGGTTGCGGTGGCAAGTTTCGAATGGCCGAGGTAGTGTGGCGCTCGTCGGTGTTGTGTCGGCGGGGAGGGGGCGCTTCCGGGGTCGAGCATGGGACATCCGCGCTCATACGGTGAGGAGTAGGAGGCCACGACTGATGAGGGCGAGTCAATGGGTTGAATTCGTGGGGCGCCGTCGTGGAGGAACCATCATGCCAAGTACCCGATGATGTAGGGGGATCTTGGGGGTAGACCGGGCGAGAGTCGTAGTATGGTTGGCGGGGAGATGGGGGTAGACCTGGCGGGAATCGTAGTATGTTTGGCTGGGAGATGGGGGGTAGACCGGGCGGGAATCGTATGATGGTTGGCGGGGATTGTTGTATGAGATAGGGTTGGGATCATATGGGGATTGATGGTAGATCGGAGGGTATTGATGGCAGGTCGAGCGGGGATCGTAGTATGAGCTTGGGTGGGGATCGTTGTGGTAGGAGGGGCGGTGCTCTTGGGATGAACTCGGGCAGGCATCTTGGGCGGAACTCGGGCAGGGAGCTTGGGAGAAAGTCGGGCCGGCACCTTCGGGGGAACTCGGGCGGGGAGTTTGAGAGGAACTCGCGCCGGCACCATGTGCCACAACCAATGGGGGCGACACTTTCCACGCCTGATGTTGATATGATCCTAATAGGGTCAATCATTGATCCAAAATTACTTGCCAAAGAAGCTATCAAGGTTGGAAAGAAGAAGGGCAGAATTTGGTTAAGTATAGAGACAGTTTCAAGGTACCAACTTTGGAGGTATGGTTCTCTTAATTGGCTCAATGAAAATTGGTGTTTAATGCCTTGTCTTGAATATAAACACTTTATCTATAAGTTGGTATGCTTGGTGGCTCGAGAGGAAGTCCAGAAGGTCACTTTCCAGACGTGTAAAAATGCTATGAAGAATTCTGAAAACTGCCGAAATTTGGCCAAGGCAGAAAAAAGTTTTGAGATACCAAATTTGAAGGCCTATATCTGGAGTTTGGAGCATGATCTAAGGCTGATTCAAGTTGGAGGTGAAAGAGGAAGTTTTCTTCTACAAAGGAAAGGAATTAGTGGAGTTCGAATCAACCTAGAAGACCATTTTCGAAGGGCTCAAAGATGCTATGAAGCCTGTTTTCCTAGGCAGACTTGCTTGCATTTTAAGTCAGTTTCTTGGCCAGCAAGTTACCTTGTTTTACACAAATTCTTTTGCATTTTCCTGTTCTAATTAGTTTCCTTGTTAGTTTAGAATTTTATTAGGTTTTCTTTGGCTATAAAAGCCCTCTAGTTTACGTTGTAAAGGATCCAAGTTTTAGTTGAACGAAAATTGTGTTCTTTGAGAGTTCTCAAGAATCAAACCGTTGAGTTAGTTGTGTGAGGGATTCCATTGCTAATTCGAGAACCCTTGTCAATCTTTTCTGTGAGGATTCCAGAATCGGTTTACGAGTTTTCTTATCAATCAAGTAATCACCTTGATTGTGGCGAAATTCTACCTATCCGTTTTATCTTTCGTTGAAGAGTCCGAGCTGCGTATTTTGATCAAACAAAGCACCCCCCCTGGTGCTTCATCAAGTGGTATCAGAGCTTGGTTAAAGTCAGTGGCGAGAAGAATCGAAGGCTGAGTTTCGTACAAAAATTCAGTACGAAACAGAGTACTATGGATACCGAGGAGCTAGCACGTTCGATGATTTTTACGCGTTGTTTAATCGAAGAGAAAACGTGTTCAGTTCTTATTGATGGAGGCAGGGAGAGGAATTTGATTTCCTCTAGGACTGTGAGCAAGCTAGGGCTGCAAACACAGCCACTATCGAAGTCCTATACCTTTCAATCGCCTTACGATGGATACTCCAATTTCGTATTCTCCCAAGTAGTTGTGGAATTTTCGATCGGACAATACGAAGACAAAGTTATTTGCGACGTGGCTTATAATCTGCCTAGCCACATCGTGTTGGGGCAGCCTTGGTTTCGAAATCGACAGGTCGAGTTCATTAGCCGAAGGAGCAGAAAGTTCAGAGTCAGGAAACGAAACAAAATTTTCGTATTGAATCCATTACCTCCAGAGGGAGCTGTTGGCGACGTGAAGGAAGTGCAACGACTACAAAAGGAGTATCAGAGGAATTTGTTGGCGAAACCATGGTCGTGGATCGTCAATCAAGCAAAGACACCGGCCAGAGAAGAAGGACTCTGTTCGTCGACGGCAGAGAAGAGCGGAGAAGAAAAGGACTCGGGCAACGACGTGGGGGAAGCTTCGAGCGAACCCAATGCATCTGAGACGTTCGTCAACACCCTAGGATTGGATTCTCTGAAAGAAATCGACTCGATTCGAGCTGAAAAGACGACTACTGTCCAGTCTGAGCACCCCTGTTTTCCGACGTCGGCGCAGGGGAGGAGAGAGACTGAATCGGGTGGATGTCTCAGGACTGAGTCGGAGCAAGCGGCCGATGTTGACACGTTCGTTGAGACGTTGGGAACGTGTAATGACGATCAATTGGATTTGGAACGCGTCGAAGCCAAAATGCCCAATTCGCCATTTTCGTATCGAGACGTGAAGAACAACAAAGAAAAATACAGCTTAATCGTTGGAGAGGTTTGTGATGATTCGAAGCAAAACGTTAGTCAGAGATCATCAGAGGAGGTTGTACGAAGCTGTTGGAAGCTTCAATTTTGCTCGAGGATGCCTGAGCTCCAAACGCCCAATTCCGAAATTTTTGGCTGAAAAGTTGGGGAAGAAAATAATCGATCGATTCAAGCAATTGTTCGCCGGATTCTGAGGAATTTAAAATTTCCGACGGCGGGAAATTCGGAAATCAACAATTGGAGCGATTTGGAAAGATTCGAAGCACGGGAATGCATGGGATCGATTCCTGGGAGGCATTAGGGTCGATTTTGAGTGGTGAATGTGATCGAGAAAGCTTCGAGACAAAATCCCCAAACTTGAAGGCCTCGTCGAAAAATTCGAGCTCGCCGGATTCTGGGATTTTATCGCCGGAATCTGGAAATGTGGAATTGTGTGTTCTGGGTTCGTTTGATCGAACTAATTGTGTGGGGAAGGTCCATTGGAGCCCTACGAATCCACTAAAACTCAAATCATGGAGAACAGAAGCCAATTTATGAGCTGAAGAAGAATTTGACGTTCAAAATTTTTTGCCGCAAAGTGTGTTTGAGCAACCCTCTTTCGATCCAATTTGGGAACAATTCTGTGATGATTTGGAGAAGTATCCTGAACAAGCTTTGAGGGTAAAGATTTTTGAAGAGGGGGAGCTTGATATGATCCTAATAGGGTCAATCATTGATCCAAAATTACTTGCCAAAGAAGCTATCAAGGTTGGAAAG